ACTGTTCGCAGAGAACAAATCTGAGCCCTCCACATGTATCACAGGCATTGGTGACAGAAAGCGGTAACCCACCAATCAGCTTCTTCAAATCTCCACTCTCATGTAATTCGGTAATTTCCTTGACCCCGCCAATGTATTTTCCTCCGATGAAAACAATTGGTAAAGTAACTCCTTTTGACCCAATAATCTCTTGTAACTCGTCTAAATACATACCGTCCATCGATAAATCACGTTCGTCTATCTGGACACGAAACCCACGGAGGATGGATCTGACGGTCCTGCAATCCTCAAAGGTTCTGCGGACAATGCGGAGGCTAGTAAAGTATAGAATGATGTGTTGGTCCAGGTGGGTTGGCAGTGAAATAGAGTGCTTGGTCGACGGGTGTGCATGGCGGTGGGCCCATGAACGGAGGACTGAAGTGGAGATCCGGACCCGGTGGAAAAGGGAGGGCGATTTGGGGGAAATGGGCTCGGGTTCTTCAGTGACGAGGGTTTGGATATCCTTGAAGGAAGAGCAACAGAATCTTGGTGATGGAGGTTGCGATCTCGGGGAGGAGGGAAATCTTGAGGGCGATCTTAACCAGTTGAGCCACATGAATGGAAGAGAAGAGTAAGGAAGGTTTTAGGGAGTGGAAGTATGCGAGCGAGGAAGGGTTTGCTGGAGGCTATTGAGAAAACGATGACGGAGATATTGTGATTATGTGTTATTGAAGACGTGACTATATAAGTGCTTTTCTGTCATGGAATTACAAGAAATTAATATGGTATGTTCTTTAATGCCCCTTTTTGTTTCTACATGAAATTTTGTGTGAACGTTGGTAAATCCGCTCGTTTCACAGAGTAATGGTAGGGATTTTAAATCTTTTACCCCCACTAACTTTATTAGCATGTAGATTTACTAATTTAAAGACATAGCATTAATTGTTTTTTTTTTTTATGAAAGTCGTCCTCTATCTATTGATAAGTTTTATTTTTCGTACAAATATATATAAAAATAAACTAAATTAAATCGGTTGGCTACTCAAGGATTACCCAGTAAAAAAAATATCGAAGGCTTCAAGGTAAAAAATAAATAAAATCTAGCATAAATAACCCATCAAGTTTTCTTCATTAAGAATTATACAGTATCTTCAAAGTTGTATTCCTCTGATACGTAGTATATCACATGCATGCGCTAGACATAAAAAAATAAAATTATGGGATGACACATGGAGTACCTGTACCTCTACTGAATCTTGAATAATTTTTTAGTGTTTAAATAATAATTGTTGACGTCTATTCGCTATCCACTTGATTGCTATGGTGCTCTTATTTAAAAAAAATAATCATTTACAGAGTCTGAGTTGTCATGACCGCAACCAATTTCAATGTTACTGTCTGTGTTTTTCTGCCCGTTGTTCCCATATTTGCCCGTCTCACCACTGAAACCCCACCAATACGTGGCGGTGCTCACGGCCCGGTTTAAGCTAACCGAACCGGAGTTTTTAATTTTCAGAAATTTTGACCCTAACAGAGCCGAAAACCGGTTCAAATCGAACCGGGTCGGGTCGGTCTTTCTTCTTGAAAACCAGGAAATCCATTGTCTGCACAGATGGTGCCAAAAACTTCACCAGTTTCCCGTACACTCCTCGAGACCATAAGGCTAAAAAGACCATGGAATTCATGAATCAATATAGAAAAAGCAGGCAACGCAGTTCAACTTTCAGCATGAGTGTTGGGGATCTTAGGATTAAGAGGTTGAGTAACTCTTTTCATGAGTGTCATGCCCAATTGGATTTGCAATGACATTGCCAATAGGAAGGCTTGGGGGAGGTGGCGGCAGTGGATGCAGTGGCAAAAAAATTGCATCCACGCTTGTCATGTTTATCCCACGATCCATCTTTTGCTTTGAATATGCAGTCATTGTCTTAGAATCAGTATCCTGTTCACCTTGTGCCTTTGCAAATGCTTCCTGCCTTCTAGTATCAGAGAGAGAGAGACGGCGAGCAAGGGGCGGCTGAAAAGAAATAATGATTTAGGTTTAGCATAAGTTTGTATTTATACTTTTGATTCTTGCTCTATTAAATAAATAAGTTCAAAATAAATAAGGTTTATCTGGTTTGTTTTAGTTCAATTCATTTCAATTTTATAAAAGTATGTTTTGCAATATGATTGTGACTGTCAGTGTTTTTAAAATAATTTTTTTATGTTAAAATATATATTAATAATATTTTTTTATTTTTAAAAAATTTAAAAAGTAATTTCTATACATTATTAATATATTTTTTAAAAGAATAATTTTCATATTATAAATTCAAAAATCCAACTCATATTAGAAGATATTTAAAAAAAAATCAAGATAATTATTTATTAAATAATATTTTTTTTAAAATATTCAAGAATAACATATTGAAGCGATACACATTAATTTAATTTTTTAGCTAAGCTCGTAAATTCAATTATTAAAATTTAAATAAAAAATAAATTAAAATAAATTATGATACATAATTTCCATTCAAGTCAATATTAAAAAATATAATTTGAAATAAAATATATATTTAATTAAAAAATAACTAAAAAAACTCACCTAATTTAACTCATCTAATCATACACCCTACTTAATTTGATAACTTTTTTATTTATAAAATTATCTCATTTAATTAAATAACAAGGTCTGCATGACTTTTGTGTCAAAAAATATTCTTAAAAAAAAGAAGATAAGCTTATGCGACAAGGAAAAACAAATCTTTCTATGGTCAAATAAAAAAAAAAAACCTTTAAATGATAAAGGATCAATTTTGTAATTCAAGCGGCTGAAAATGCCTTTAGAAATCAGCGACCAGAGATTTGTTGGAAAGTTGGAGCATTGATATTTATTTTTTTTGTCAAAAAAAATATTTCTCAACACAATTTTTATTTTTATCAAAAATGTTTTGTTAAAAATACTTTAAATATCTTTATAAACTGATTTATAATGTTGAAAAATCATTCAAAATGATCTCACAATTCAAAATCAATCTAAAATAAAAAAATTCTTAAGCTGAGATCTATCCTCTCAAACATTAGAAAAGCTAAAAAACACTCTAGTTCAACTTCTTTTATTGAATGAAATTTGATACACAGCAATTGAATTTTTTGTAGTCAAAATCTATTTCAATCAATAATGTTTTCTTTATTTAATTGAAATACAATAATTTTATTTTTTAAATTAAGAATTAAAATTTTGAATCAAAATTAAGTTTTCAAAAACTCAAAGAACAAAAAGTTATCAATTAAAAAATATAGAAGGATCAGAGTAAACTTTTCAAGCTAATTTTCAAATTACTATCTATTTTTTTCATTTTATTTTTTACTTTAATCCCTTTTATTTAAATCTTATCTTTCCCTAACAAATAAAAAAAATTAATCATTAATATGATCACACAGGAATGAAATTGTAGAAAAAGAGTTTGATAATTAAAATAATAAAAAATTATTGCAACAATCCATAATAAACTATAAAAGTTTCTACGATGGTGTCTACTAGTGAAAAAACCATGTCTTTTTGTGTTTGTTAATAAATTTCACCCGCATAAATCATACATAATTCTCGAATGTCATTTCTTACAATTTTTTTTTAAGAATTAAGATGGAAAGCTTAAGTACTCTAGGATTCTGTATGTCACTCCACACTTCATGGATTTAATTTAGGTCATGCATATTATAGTTGATATGATTTTCGTTTTTCTAAATCAATGAAAGTATAGCAGTTTTAATATGATTATTAATATATATATATATAATTCAATCTAAATGGATAAAATATGAAGCAGGGGGAGTTTTTTTCCTCTGTTTGCCCATGTCATCCGCTCATGAATCATCCATAAATGGGCAACCGAAGCTACACCAGCGAAACATCCCTACGTTGAATCATGGCTGATGGGCAATGTTTAATTTTAGGATATGCCTCCGTTGTCATGAAATTAATTTTAGGATACGTCGACGTTGCCATGGCTGATGTGCAGCATATGTTTTCCTGCCTTTAATTAATTTCATGACAACGTAGACAAGTCCTAAAATCATACATTTCACACCAGCCCTGCTTCAAGAAAATAAAAATCACGAGAAACCCTATTCACGAATAAAAGAAAATATAAAAAATGAAATTAATTTCTGTTAGATCTTGTTGAAAGTCATGGTACAGGCAAATTACAAGTTTTTGGTAAAATTAAGTCTCTGCTTCCTATCTTCAACCTCTAATAACAAGGGATTGTTTGTTAAAGAAACAGAAACAGAATATTCTATCCCAATTGGCTATTAATTTTTACCCTATAGTACAAAACCCTCTTGGTTTTTTAATTAATTGCGTCTTATATAGCAAGTTCATTTATTTCACCAAACAATTATTCATATGTAGCTATACATATATATAAATATATGCATACCTATTTTTTTACTCGAGAAACTATATATATCCATCTTTTGTTTTTAATAGGACGGGCGAAAAAAAAAGAAGGTTCTTTTTATTTTTTTAAAATTTTTGTTAATATTTTTTTATATCCACACACCAATAGACAAAAAAAAAAAAAATTCATATCCGTATTTGTCATTTTACTTTTCAACAATATTTTTAATATAAAAAAAAAATTCATATCCGTATTTCTCATTTTACTTTTCAACAATATTTTTAATATAAGATTAATCAAGCATTTATTGCTTTTGCCTACGGGATTCGGCCATGCTTCCAGAAAACATAAATAATGAGAAAAGCTCGTGGTAACATTTAGAGTGCACTCATTGAACCACATTTGACATTTCTAATTAGCTGCTAAGTGGCCGTCTGTGTTTGTATTTCAAACGGAGTTTTGAAAGAAATTAATACAACACTAAGCAGTCCTTAATTTCAGGAACACAGTAGCGTTCTTACTGAATTCATAACAACGTTCTTAATTTAACGTTAGCAGGCCAAAGACAGATTATTGGGAAGAGAACCTTGTTCGCTTTTCCACAAGTAATTTTGGTTCCCTGCAGTCTTTCTAAAAATGTCTTAAATCTCCGTGTGCATGGGAGAAATATAGTTTTTGATCCATTGTGAGGAAAAGAGCACAGGGAACCCCAATCGCCGATCTAAACTCAGTAGTTATAAAATATTGGGAAAAACATGCATACAACATGTTTATAATGCAAGGAAGAAGAGTAAAATCCTGATTACATTAGAGTCCAGAACAGTTTAATACTATAAAAACTGTCCTGAGAAGAGAGGAGATTCCTTCGCTATTTATACTATCTTACCAGTTGGCGAATCTCACAGGAATGTGAACTCCTGCTCTCCGATAAAACAGTAAGCTGCATAAAACAAACATTGTGAGTTATTTGTGAAACCATAATCCTAAAAATGTCGGAAGAGGAAAAAAAAAGGTACACATACAAGATGATGACCTATTAATGCATCTTGGCTCCTTTAGAGATGAGAATATCCCCATAAGGCACCTTTTGTTCAACTCTTAGGAAATCACGTGACGCGAGAACTGCATACAATTTATCCAAGTTTCAATCAAATCAGGTCAAGAAAAAAAAAATCACGGTTTCAGTTAGTTGGAATCATGTCAAGCTAGCAATTGATTTTAAAAATTAAAGAGTAATTGCTGCTGATGACACCAGAAAGAAGATACCACAAGTTTGATAGAACAGCATAGCTGCTGCTTTTGTGTTCATCCCGGCAGCCAGGTTGTTCAGGGATTCTACTTGAGGGGCTCCTGGCGTTTCAAAATGCGTTTTCATTTGCCTGTGCACATTTAAGTATGGTTAATGAGTTTAATGATCACATGACAAACGCAAGAACTAAATAAATTCAACAAAAGGCCAGATAAGAGCAATACATTCGGATAGAATCAGCTATCTTGTCAACAGGCTGACCAACAATCAGATGTTGGGTTTGTGTAGGTCCAGTTTCAACCAACAGTTCTGTGGAAAATTTAACAGGGGGGATTAGGATTTAGGTTCTTTGATTGGAAAAGGTAAAACCAAATAGCCAAATAGCCAAAGCACTGCAGCCAAAAACATGAATCGCCATGCCATTTACCTTGATCAGGTGTTGGGCCATTCTCAGACAGCCTTGATAGCTCAAAATTTGGATCAGCAAACCGCCAAGGATCCTCTTCAACTACTGTCTCAAGACTACTGCCACTGTGTCTGGACGAGGAATGACGTCCTTTCTTACTTGATCTGTCGATAGTTAGTACATCAAATACCAAATGCATCATTTCTCTTTTATCTGAAGAGCATAATGAGTCTTAACTCTTAAAAGCTAACTCCACAGTGATCCCAATGAAACGTTCCTACACAGTCATTCATCACTTCAGCTAAATTTATATGGGTTCCACTAACCGTCCTAAATTGACTTCCAAATAATGTGGTGGAATGCCATGTCCTGATCCAGAGCTTGGAATGGACCCCACTCCATCTCCTGTAATTCAGATCAAGAAAAGAACTATGAGAAGTGTAATCATAATCCTCTAATTACCGTAGTCGTTATCTAGACAAGTGAAACATGTGAAGCAGAGGAGATAGACGCAGCATACCAGAATTCCTAGGTGTTGCCATAGTGGCTTCAGTCATCCTCACACCATTGTTCCTCAGGTTGGCTTTTAGTTCTTCCATGAGGATATCCATGGATACCTCATCATTCACAACGTTTGTTCTCATCTTCTCTATCGAAGTGCCCAGTGACTGAGAGCCAACTCCACTATGAACATCATCAATGGTCTACACTCCAAACAATCAACATAGAAAAGCTACAGTGTTTCTACTGAAAAAGAAAAAAAAAAAAAGAACCAAGCCACTGCTGCTGGGCTTACATATCCAACTGGATCTTGATAATTTACTCTGCCTGGTGGTGACGATTTTGATGGTTCTGGTGGCAGTGGTGCAGAAGTCCTTTCTTCTTACACAAGTACAAAACGAATCTCTAATCATTGTTAGGAAAATCTTCTTAGGAGAACAATCTTAAAAGTTACAATGTTTAAATCTCACCAGAAGGGGAGTCATGAGGAGGTCGGGTACTTTTGGTCCAAAGTTCCAGAAGGGGAGCTGGATAATAGAATTCTCTATTTCCTTTATCATCAATAAGAACAGTAGGTGGGAGCTCCATGAGGTTAGATATTTTTGTAGTGGACATAATACCCATGTGTGCCTGAAAAAACAAGCAGAACAGGGAACTTATCGATAGAACATCAAGATAATTTTTTTTCCTTCCCTTTTGCTCTCCATTTCAAAAGGATAACAATTTCAAGGTTTTTTAAAATTTAACGATTACAGGTATCATAGAGCACTCACGCACCCATTGCAATTAGCAATTCTTAAACTACGTAATTCGTATGATGGCAAGTCACAAAGTTTTCCTCGCACAAGCTTAGTTGGTGAACCTTCACCGAAATGCGAATCATATTGGAAATCGAGACCTGACCTTCCTTTTTCTTCCTCTCCTTGAGACAATGTCAGAAGCATTTTGAATCCATGACTGGTATACATGACCTGGAATAATGGTTTGTTCATAATCAACGGTAGTTGTTGCTTGTCTTCTTGTTTTCCTTTTAATTGGCCTTTGCTTCTGCTGATCCTGTTGCATCCATACTCTGAATGTTTGTTGTACTTGTATTGTTCTTTTATTATAAAATGATATTATCAGCTCAGGAGATGTTACAATTAATTACCTGTCTGGCTCCCTTGCATTCATTAGATTGTTGATTGACTTGGAATTCTGGATGATGGTCTCGGTTTTCTTCAGCTGCAGGAAGACCTTAACATTAGCATGTGTACCCAGGTTGATAGTTTCTTTGCTGAATGCTCTTTATCAGTATAAGTAGTCTCCGTAAACTTTTAAGCATTAAATAGCTAAAAATTTACAAATAAATGAAGTTAATGGGGCTAGTCATGCAACCAGTTGACTTAGATTAGGTAGGATCTCATTGGAAGGAGCCATGCATGTAAATCAAAAATAATTTACAAATGTTACATATACTGGCACACCCGTGACAAGGACCAAGGCATTCTCTCAAATCAAAGACGAAACTTAGAAAGAAGACAACAACAGTATAGCATCTTAATAAACCATAACTTTAATTGGGTATTTGATGATTGACCATCCAGCATGTCAACTTCCATATCTGAAATAATTCAATTGTTTAATGATTGGCTTCTACCCAGAAAATAACTAAGTCATATATATATAGGCTTCTGGATTAAAGAGGTAGAAAGAAAAAGGGAGGCAAGGAAATTAGAGAGCCATCCTTTTGATAGATCTTCCTCTCTCTGAAGTACATGTAGATATCTTTGTTTAGACATGATGTTTGTGGGTTAATGAAACGATGACATCAAGCCAGTTACAAGCTTCATAAAGAAATTTATTAAGTCAAAAACAATAGAACATAAAATAAAATGAGGTGCTGTTTCATTTCCAATTCAGTCTGCAACTTAGCAAGACATAATACTTCTAATAAGGTGTCATTCAAGAGCATCCTCTTGCTTCTATCATTTTTGTGTTTTCCTACGATTTGCATACTGATGTCAATGGGCAAGGAGATTGAGACGGTTGATACTATCCTCACCAAGCATATTGACAAATCAACTCAAAGGACTTGAGCTTGAAAAAGTAAGCAACACAAACATAAAATGATGTGCAGCTTAATAATAACCAGGTTCAGTCATAGAAGGAGAAGGGTTGGCAAAAGGAGAAAGAGGAAAATAGCTCGATTTGGTGGGATGTATATATCAATTCAAAGTGCTGGTCGCATAACCTTCTATTGGAATATATAGATGTCAAAGGACAAATGTCAATCAAGGTGGAAGTATACACTATATCAACTTCAAAATCATTCAATAAAAGTAATTAATCAAAAAACAAGCAGCAGTTGTCTAACATGCATTTTATATTGCTGACCTCTTTGAGCTTCGTCTTGTTCATGTGGGGAGGGTATGAGAGTAGTTGGGATATCCATATGGTCTGCTGAAGCGAAGTTCACCTGTGTCTCCTCATCCCCTTCAATATCAAATCTGCCACACCATCGTCCAAGATCAGCATATGAGAATATAATGAAAACCCAATAAGATTAAAGTAAGGGAAATCCCTTGTCAACCACAAGGAGAGAATTTTAACTTCCATGCATACAATTTTACTAGAATGAACCACATTATGCACAGGCAGCGGCAAAGCCCTATATGAAAAGCATAAAATAATTATGCAAACCAGAACCGATATTGCATCATGATTGAATTCACCTTTCAAAGCGATTGTACGCATCACCATCAGCCTGGTATGAATCAAAACGTTCAAATAGCGTGATGTTGTCGGCATCAGCTGAAAAGGCATCTTGAGTTAACTTAAGGGAACAATATCAGCATGCCAGAAAACTCATAACTAAAGCTTGGATGGAGGAGAATCCGGCAAGTAATAAATGGAAACCTTGATGTAAGTGATGGGATGCATCTCCCTCCCTGGTATCACTGTTAACAAACGGTTCATCCACATTGTCAAGCCGCTGAACAACATACAGAGGTCAAAAAGTGATCAGCTGCATACCCTGTTTTAGCAGGTATTCATTGTAACAAACTTTTTTTTCCCCAGTGAGTGCATGTAGTTCTATTACCATTGATATGCTTTGATTCCTTGTTAAATCACGTGCAATGACTTAGGTTAGATCATGCATAATTGTAAATTTGACTTCAATTTCACCGAATGTAAGATTAGAAATTTATACATTTGACATGCAAGCTAGTGCAGCACCATAAAAGCTGTATTATGAAATCTACCACAATGACATAATATTAGTATAATCAATACTAATTGCTATACATCCACAGTAATGTATTTTGTAACATGCACAAGGCATCTGAAGCAAAATCCATTACTGCAACCCAACAGCTTAGACAATGGACTAAACATAAATTTACCACATAAAAGATAAGGCAACTAATTCGAATTTGTGTGGGTTGAAAGACCTTCTGCGACTTAATGCTTAATTGGGCTCGTTTATCAAACACCTTCCCATCAAACAAAATAAGGTCACCATTTGCTCATGCACAATAAAACCTACCAGATAGACAGTCCACAACGTTTCTGTGCGCTAATTTGCCACCAGGTAAACACAGAGTAGTTGACCACAAAAAATGCCCCAAGACATAACTTCATATAACTCATTGATGTAGCGTTAATGAATAATAATGGAGTTGTTTTATGTCGTTTTAAGAGTGACTAAAGTAAAACAATGTACCATCCTATAAAAAAGAAGAAGAAGAATTAGAAGAATAAAATGAACAATTTACCATGGTGAAGTAAGCTGTTTGTTGAAAACCCATGGTGGTGGTTGCAGCATTGGAGTAATTAAGGGATTGCTCAATTTCTCCCACATCTGTTTCTTGGTTCTCTGGTAAAGTCACTGCCTCTTTCCTTCAATCATAGACACACAGCATCACAAAGTAAACAAAACAAAATCCATGTACTTCGACTTTTACTACCCTTGCTTTAGCACCCAAAACTCACTCTCAAAATTCATGAAGTATCGTTATCACTGTGAGGTGTGAACTGTCACCGGTGCTACAATGTGCGGAGGTCGTCCCCGTAAATTTGAACGCGCATGAAGTTTTTTTAAAAAAGGTGCCAGGTTTTATCCATGCTAAAATACGCCACTCCACCCAAACATGTGCTAAAAAACGCTGATTTAGAGCTCGGATAAGAATTTACAGTGACGGACCTGGCCTGTGATTTTCCCTTAGGAAGGACAGTGGGGTCTGGGGCTACCTTCACTTTCCATGCTTCGTTTATTTCAACCTGACGAAAATCAAATCAAGAAACGAGCGACGCGTCATGAAATAATAGTTGATCATGGCTCGGAAATTGAAAGGGAAAAACAATACGGAATTTAGATTTTTTTTGTTGAATTATATGTTTTCAATGTATGTACCAGCAGGCGGGTTACATCATCTGTGAAGAAAACCAGAGTATAAAGAAGCGTTATCAATAAGATTATGAAATCGAAATTCAAGTACTGGTCAATAAAAGAATGAAAGGAGATTCACCATAGAGGAGCTTCACTTTTCGTTCAAAGACAATAACAACTCCACCTGAGAGGGAAAAAGAAAACAAGAGAGGAAGAGAAATGTCTCTGTTACGAACTTAAACTTTGATTAAAAACAGATAGAAGTTAGAACTCCTAACTTGAAAGAAAAAGAAAACACTCTTAAATGAGAGACAAGACGAGTACCCATGAGAATTCCAGAGAGTCTAAGAGCCATAGGCACTGAGGGATTCAAAATCTCTTCACTGTAGAAACAGGCAAAAATGAGAAGAAAAATGAAGTCCGCTAAATCGGTTTGAGCTGATTTGGAAACAGGAAAAGAAAATAGAGATGGTTTAAAAGAAAAATAACCAGATACGGATGATGTTGAGCTTATTGAGCTTCTTTCGGTTGATCTTCGCATGCATGGTTGCAGCCATCCTTCGTCAAACAGAGGAAACGCAGATTATCGTATAAATCCACTTTAGTTAACAGAGACAGAGAATATCATGCAAATACTACACTCCATATTTGCTTAAAATAAACCGCGTCCAGTCGCTCAGTTCAAAAAATGAACCGAAAATCCTTTCAATATAAGTAATCTATATTCACAATGAATACATTCCTTGTTTTTCCAGAAAAAAACAGGGTAATTATGTAAAAAAAAAAGAAAAGATAATCAGCAGAAACATTGCGTTCCTGAGTATCATAATATAACTAATCACTTCAAAAAATAAATAGAGACAAATGCATAGAACAAAACAGAATTAAAATCTTAATAACTAAAAAGCGAAGCAAGCAGCTTATAGAATTCCAAAAAAAAGGTGAAGAGGAGATCACCATATCTGGCCAAGAGGTGCTTTGCGAGCTAGAAGCTGGTGTGAGTAAAACATTTTTTATTGACAGGGAGGATTTCACTCTGAAAACAAAAGAAAGAGAGAAGAAGTTTAAGAGAGGATCAGAGGTATCGACAATGGCGTTTTAAATAAAAAGCCAAGTCGTTTTGAAAGAGAGGGGGGGAGCTAACTGGGAATAGAAAGACGTGAGTGTGGTGTGTATGTGTTGTTTCTTTTATTCTCTTTAAAACGGAAGGGGCATCCCAGCCTTGGCAGCTAAGAGCGTTTTTTGCGGGAAGGGAAGAAGAGTACGATGGAATGTTCCTGGAGATAAACTTACCCGCCAGCCATGAAATTTTCTGTGCTTTTTAGAAATTTGGAGCATCAAATGTTAACACGTGGGGGTATTTAAGTGCCTGTCTGTCACCGGCTTGCTGCAAAATGAAAAGGCTCGCTTATAACGACTCTGGGTTGTTGTTTAGAAAAATGGACGTGGGCTCCACCGGATCAGCTTGCTTTGCACTCTTTTTGCTCGGTGTTTTGTCTGGTGGAGGCAATGAGCAATTGAGCATATCACAAATTATTTATTTAATTTTTTTTATATGTTATTTGAAAAAATAAATATTTTAATAGAAATGAAATAGTTTCAATACTATTTATTTAATTTTAGTGTTTAAAAAGCTTTAAGCAACATGAGTAATTTCTACAACTAATTAAAATTAAAGTTTTTAGAACCATCTGAGCTTGCTATATAAAAGATGGAGTCCTAACGACATGAAGTTATTAGCGGCGGGGTTATGAAACGAAAGGGGCAGGCCGCCAGACCCCAGGCTAGCGCCGTCGTTTGACTTCCAAGGTATAAAATTTTGCCAGCACGCTTATGAAATAAGATTTGTGTGTTAGGGGTGCCAGAGTTGTGATTTTTTTTTAATGATTTTTTAAAACTATTTTTATATATATTTGTAGAATGTTTTAATAAGTCAAGATTGAAAATAAATTTTAAAAAATAAAAAATATATGTGCAATTTTACTATAAATTTTAAGAAATTTTGATTTTTTTTTCAAATTGTTTTTTTAATGCATTGTTTAGAAATGAATTATCGTATAATAAATTTTTTTTATTATAATATACTGAAATTAAAAATATATAAAAATATTTTTTAATATATATATATATATATTTTAAAACACCTTAAAAAAACAACACAACTTCACAGCTCTAATTTCAGAGATACCACTGGGCCCATCATCCGTGATACAGCTAAAAGAAAGCCTAATACACATGCATCAAATGCCACTGTGACCCAATTCAAGCCCATGGCCTTGATTTTTTGGGTAATTTTTTGCACTCATATTGCAATGATATAATTAATATTAGTTTACTTGGTTAAAATAATAAATATTTTAAAGGTATCAATAATTTATTTTTTAAAGTTATTTTTTAACTTATTATAATTTTACTAAAAACCAACATTAAAAATTAAAAAATTATTTGATTGGAACATTAAAAAGGTGTTGGTGTAACAAAATAAAATAAAAAAGTTAAAAGTTTATATACTCGATAAACATAAAATTAAATTTGGGTTACAAATAAAAATTAAAAGCAGACGATAGTTCGTCAAATAACAAAAAAATTGACACAGAGGGGCAAGAACTTCGTTGAGAATTAAGAAAAATAAAATTTAAATACTCAAATTAATGAAGAAGAAAAAAAGGTCTTATATAATTCCTTTACTTGTTTTTTAGTTCTCGATCAATGTTAGTTTCTCTTAAATAAAATATATATTTACATTGCATAGCTGTGATGAGGAGCGTCAGCTTGTTTAATCACTCAAAGTTGAACCTGTGATTTTACTGTAAAATCTCGAGCCCTTAAATTTTGTTATTCTGCTTTTACCTTTCTTATAGTTGATTTTCTCTTGCTTTTCAATTTGAAACAACGCATAACAATGCAGGAGGGGGTTCTGGGGATTCTACAGTGGGGAGAACCAGTACTAATGGCCGCAAGACGAGGAGAACTAGCGAGTCTTGAATCATTATGGTTTCAAAACCTTTCACGCAGCAGCTGTGAAAGGGAGCAAGGACATAGTTTCGATGCTTGTTGGATTTGAAGTAGATTTAGAATGCCAAGACAATGAAGGTCATGCATGCCCCATTGCATTTGGCAGTGGAGGGTGGCGGCGTAGGACGGTTGAGGTGGTGGTCGGCAAGGGAGCCAATGTTAAGGTCAAGAGATATAGCTGAAGTCATCGGTTATTAGGGGAGCACAAGCCCTGAGGGCAACACCGTACATTCTCATTCTCAACTCGAACTTTTGATCATTTTCATATCTGATAGCAGAGGACATGGGGATCCAGAATGGATCATTGCAAGGAAATCATGTTGTGGAACTTCGTTGTGTATGCTCATGGAGAAAATTAATTATCAATTATAAAAAAAAAAAAATTATAATTATCCCCTCTTAGGAATGAAGAATATTTTGCTGGTAAAATGTTTGAATATATCTGATTCTATACTATAATAAATAATTTAAATTGAAATGGTTAATTTTATTTGAAAAAATTAAAAGCCATTTTTGTGTTTCTGGTAAAAAACTACACAGCAATTGGTCAATGATTGGCATCTCCACCTACAATCAATGACAATATATCCAGTACCGTAGAGGTTATCTTCAATGAAAATATTAAATATAAAGATATTATATAAACATTAACTAAATTAATTATATTAAGATAAGTTAAAGTAAGTGGTTGTATTAATATTAAATATATTAAAATAATATTTTTTTATTGGAGTAAATATATATATATTTAAAATATTTAAAATACAGTAACATGCCAGGAATGGGTCCAAAAGTGGCGTTGCGATAGACAAATCACTACGAAAACAGTAAAATGCAAGGAAAATCTCAGTAGTCTGGGGTCCATCCATCACTTCTTAGTAAAATTTAGCCTGCGCTAGCTATCTTTTACGGGGTTTTCAGTCCTCACCGTCGTCAGAAACGGAAGACCCAAAAAAAAAATAAAAAAAAAAATGCAACCATTCCCCACTCTGTTTCTTCTTCTTCTCCTCACAGTGTCCCTTCCACTGGCACACTCCACTTCACCAGAACACTTCTTCAAACCATCCTCGCCACCTCTGTCGTCATCGCACAAACCCAAACCCAAATCCAAAGAATACTTTGAACTCACCCATCCTCTACCGTCCGATCGTTTGACGCCATCATGCGAACTTCACATCATCCAGCATTCATTTGCCAACACTATGAACCAGCCTCCATATTCCACCCCATACTTTCCACCATTCCAATGCCCCCCTCCTTGGTCCCACGTAGCCCTCGAATTCCACGTCAAATCCAAAGGCGATCAACGGGACCGCATCTCCGCCTTATGGCTCCGGGGGTCCGAGCTCCTCCGCACCAGCACAGCCGAACCCGGAAAACGCGGTATCTTCTGGAAGGTTCGAAAAGACATCACTAGATACTCCTCTCTCCTCCAACAAAACAACCTTAACATTACTGTCATGCTCGAAAACATCGTTGACGATACCTACACCGGCGTCTACCATGTTGACGTCACTCTCTATTTCTACACGGATAACGCCATCAAGGCTCCGTTCACGGGTAAAAATCAAAATCTAATTGCTCCAGCTTTACAATTGCCCTTCTTTGGAGACAAGAGCATGTATGACCCACCGGCTGATTTAATAATTCCTATTTCAGCATCCGATAGCACTAAGGGTTATTGGTTTATAGTGGAGGGAGATTTTGATGTTAAGTTTGAGAAGGTTAGATTTCCGTTGAATACACGAAAGGTCGTTTTGGAATTATATGTGTCGTTTCATGGAACTGATGAGTTTTGGTATTCGAATCCGTCGAGCTCTTACATTAGAATGAATAACATGAGTAATCCGAGGGGTAATGGCGCGTTTAGGGAGGTTTTTGTTTCAATCGATGGGAAATTAGTAGGATCAGAAATGCCATTTCCGGTGATATTTACCGGAGGGATTAATCCTTTGTTTTGGAAGCCTATCGTAGCAATTGGTGCTTTTAATTTACCTTCGTATGATTTTGATTTGACGCCGTTTTTGGGCATGGTTTTAGACGAGAAAGATCATGTTTTCGGCGTTGGAGTTACGGATGGGATTGAGTACTGGCTTGTTGACGCGAATTTGCATATCTGGTTGGATTCATCCTCGACTATTGTGGAAGCGAAGAATGTTGTGAATGTTTATCCTGCATCAGAAATAAGTCGTAGTGAAGAGTTTCAATCACTTGATGGATCGTTTGAGATTAAGGCGGAGAAGTTTACGCGAATAGAAGGGTGGGTTAAGTCGAGTTCAGGAAATTTAACTACTAGTATATTGCAGGAGGTTAAGTTTAGGAGCGCCATAAAGTTCAAAAGGAAGGGAACTTATAGCACTGTTAAACAGAATATCGAGGTGAGAAGAGAAGCGAGAGTGTTGAATGATGTGGGTGGATTGGTTAGTCGTGTTATTGTTAAGAGAAAGTATCCTCTTAAAGTGATTACTGTCACTCTCCCTGGGTTGAAGAACGATACTTTCATGCTTGTTACTAATGTTACCCATGCAGTGAATGAGAAGATTAAAAACGGGAAGTTGTCAAGCCATGTTATTAACAAACAGGTTTCCAATGGCTGGATGGAGGTTAGGGATCGTTCTGTTCTTTCAGGTGAAGCGATGACAAATCAAACTTACGTTTGCAGGGACGTGCTAGGTTGCTATGTTAGGACTGTCGGAACATTGAATGGAAGACTCGTCAAAGACGATACTGCTTATGCCTGTCCATCACTCATGTAATGTAATCTGGCTACATTCATTTTAATGTTAGTTTCACTTGTATTAAAATTTCCAAATAATCTCTGCCTGCTGCATTTGTACATGTCCATCCTTTTCATTAATAGAAATTTCTGGTGTCTATTTCCTTGCAAAATTTCTTGTTCAGTCAATATTTGCTTGTTTTGGAGTCTTTTTGGGTGCTTGTTTCTTAACATAACATAGAGCTGACTGATAGCTTATGCAACCTCTGGTGCTTCTGTGTCCAATTAAAGCTGTCATATCCTGGAAATACTTGATTAGCTATTGTGCCCTGCCATTCTATGCAAATTCGGTACATTCATCTCGTTGATGATTTTTCGCAGATTCCCTTAAGTCTTACTATATAACATGCGCACTTGCTTCAGGTTTTTATGCTCTGACTATTGTGCATTGATAAATCTTTACTCACGAAGAAAATTGAGAAGTTATGTTACAACCGTAGGTTGTCATCTTTAGAGATTAGTAGTCATCAGTAAATGATTAGAAGGGAGATGATTGTGTAGACGGGAGAAGTGATGAATTAACCAATCTGCTTGGAATGTAATTATCTAGGAAAGTGGTGAACTACCAATCTGCTTGATAATTTAAGTGTTTAGATGGGGAAATTGTCTCGATGAATTAATCTGCTGGATAATTTAATTTAGTTATTCGGTTATATAAAGATGTCCACGCAGCGAAGAAAGCTGAACAAGGATATCCTACCTGCCCGAAAATGATATCCTACCTGAGCTTTGGGGGGGCGTTCTCCCTCTGTGTGTGTGTAATGTAGGGAAAAATGACTGCATCGATAATGCCAAGAGACCAGCATCTATGCATATGAAGCTTCATGGAACTTGCGCCTATTGTCAGGATTCCCGAGCTATATCGGAATTCAACTCGACGATAGACAATGTCATACAGACCCGCATGTACATTAAGTTGTGTCAACGAGAAGCAAGTGCCAACGGATGCTGCTTCTGTTTCTTCATTAGGATCTGTTCAGTCTGAGATCTCCGAGAACACAAGCTGTGTGGTTTGCATTTAAATGAATCCATAAATTTAAATTTAATAGTCCAATAGATATCGGTGTTTGATGATATCGGCATGGTAGCAACTCCTAAAGATCAAGCAATTACATGTTTTTTTATACATCGACAGTTCAGTGATTGAATCAACCACTGGTATGTAATCCACTGCCGCCGCTCCTTTACACGCCTTCCATTAAATCTTCAAATCAACTAGTAAATTATAATTAGTGTTGGAATTATTTTCATAATCATTTGACGATTTGGGATCATTACAGTCAAACGCCCTTGGTACTAGTGGCATCACCGACATCTTGGGCGGAGCCGAGTGAAAGTGGTGGCGTTTTGAGAGGGTTTTATGGTTAGGGTTTTAGGAGGCAGAGACAGGAGATGGCATTGGAGGATTTTGAATGTCGTTTTCTTGGAGGAGAAGAGAGAGAAAGGGCAAAGGGGCCTTTTAAAAGTTTGCCTTCTAGCTAAATGGGCACTATCGTTGACCTTTTTTACTTTTACAAAGGAGAAAAGAAAACCCGTCCAGTTTAGCAAGCAAGAAATTTGTTGACATTTGGTTTCCAGCAACTTCACCCTTTAAAAGTTTGCCTTTTAACTATATGGGCACTATCGCTGACATTTTTATTATAATTTTTTATTATTTTTATTTTTTATTCTTTTATTTTTCATATAACCATGTTAAAATTATAAATTCATATTTTTTAATGATAATTTTTTTTTATTTCAAACCATACTAAAAAAAACATGTTTTCATAAATTAAAAAAAAAACATGAATAAGGAATGAGATTTTTTATATAAAAAGGTGCATTTTCCCCCTAATTTAAACTATTAAAATTATTAGAAATATGTATTTTAATTGCTTAAGCCTTTTATTAAAAAAAAATGTTTTTGATGAAAGAGAGATTGTCAAAAAAAATGCATGAGCAAGAAAGAGGAATTTTGATTAAAAACTTTTTTCTCTAGAATGATTTTTTTTGTGAATATTTATTTTAATGTCCTTATAGTTTAATAAAAAAAATAAGAAAGGCCTCATTTAGCAGCCGACGGGCAAACGGGCTAGTACAGCGATGAGCATTGAATCCAGCCCCTCAAAAGGAGAAAGTTACATGTGGTTTGTTTTGATTGGCGAGTTACCTCCACGGTGGTCAATTAAGAACCAAGAATCCATTTGCTCTAAACACTGCTTAAGCTAAACGGATAGTGAGAAGTTCCAGCCACAGGATTCCTACAAGTCGCGAATTTTACCAACAGTTGCGTACTTGTAATTTTTTTATTTATATCATCCTGGCATCTAAACCATTTCCTTTTTATGCAAAATAAATCTCGAAAGCAACGCAAAATAGAAAAGCCTATCCCCACCATTTCAGTTTAGGACTTTCGTGGAAGACTACGAGGGGAAAAAAGAAGCGAAAGTTACAAGAATAATAGCAGCAGGGCAACACTGAGAATGAGAGCAAATTGTTTACCAGTTAGATCAGTAACTTCTTCTGTATCCTCCTAAAAACTATCAATGATTCAGTAAACTGGTAAAATAACTCATCAATACAACGCTCCCAAAACCTTGTTAAAAAATTTGGGAAAATGATTTCCAACAAAAAAAATATAGCAGTATCCGTTGCCTTTTTCATTCCACTATGCCCGCTGAGTTCTCCACATCAGCATCTCCCATCCCTGTGTCTTCTTCATCACCACTATCTTCATCGCCACTGATCTCTTCATTGGCACTCCGTAGCTTAAGCATGTGCTCAGCAAGTAATTTATCATCTCGTTCGCTCACCTAAAATACAATACACCAAGTCAGAGAAGCCCAGAATGGAACTCAAGTTATACATTAAGTAAACAAATAGTCCAAAAAGAAGCCCTTTTGGACTGACACCGAAAGGTCAGAGCTGGATTCAAGTTTCACTGAGTGTTTAAAAAATAAAAACCCTTGAGCAGATGAAAAATTGACACTCACTGCTCTCGGTGGCTCCTTCACAACAAGTTTCCCTTTCTGCCCCTCTATTGCTTCAGTGCAAGCAGCAATTGCTTGGCTGAGAATTTGTATTCCTTGTTCCTGCATAGACCAGTAGAAATCATAGCATTTCATCAGCAACATACTAGCCATTGATCTGACAGCATCCCATAATTATCTCCAAGGAAGCGGCTAAAAATACAGTTGACAGGACCTTTGACTCTAGCTTGAAAACAAATCATAGGAATCAGAATACTGGCCTGTAAATTGGCTAATCATCAACAGGTACCAGCCAAGTTCATATTCTGGCCTCCAACAAATTTGCAACAATAGCTCAACATAAATTAAGTGACATTACACGATAAAAATCCTAATTGATCAGAGTTCTTTTTTCTGAAGGCTGATTTACCATGCCAGTGACAACTTGCCATCTTGCATGAATCACCACCTAGGAAATTTCAAAATCTGAAAATGAACTGTCCTTCACTTTATAAGGCAAGCTAGTTACTCCCTACCAGGTGATTAAAAAGAAATGGAAAAAAAGGTGAGGGACAAAGCATTGTTGTCACCTCAAGTGCAAGGGAGGAGAATAAAAAAAATACACAGCAAGTTTGACCATTTACTTATATCCTCTAACATGTGTTTGTGCGTCATTGTATAATCAATTATATCTCTGCCTACTCGCTTTTATGTTGAGTAAAGCATCAAAGAATATAAAAGCAATGAGATTCAGCATGTAGACATAAGCATTACACAATTGCCATTCTCCCAAAGTATCACTTCATCAGTTATTTGGGAGTTGGGACTTGCACATAGAATTTCACAACTGCCTACATGATTTTTTTTAAAAAGACAAATTTATCATCACCTAAGGCTCTCTAGTTTATCCCAAGAGAGTTCCCAAGATAAGGCTTACCTTGTCTAGGGTTTGTGTGGTGAGAACATAAAGAGGAGGGGCAACCAGTTTGATTTTCACAGGACAATCTGCATTGCCAACAGCCTCAGCTTTCCGCATTGCATCCTGCAAAGTCAAAGGTAGCTTTTGTAATTTAGAATGGCATCAAGAAACTAGAAAGTCTACATTCAGTAAACTTAGGTCATGTGCATTAACACCATCCATAGGAGAAGAATGAAGGCAAAACTAAGAGAATAAAATTGGACCTTAATGTGGAGAACGCCATCAAACTGGAAACATTTCATCTCAATATCAGCCCTTATCTTCAGTGGCTGTGGGGTCATTCTTCTCCTGATATTCCTAATCAAAGCTTCTTTGATTTCCTCTGACACAGCAGGCACTACCTTGGTTACCTGTCCCATGAAGTAAATATTAGTAATCAACCAAGAATATGACAAAGACTTCATTGAACAATGATTACCTCCTGTCCGTCAGGGCCAGTTTCCTTGACTTCACGAGTGAGGGAACCCACAACTGAATCAGGGTCAGTCACCATGATTTTGAATGCCTGCATTCAACTTCTTAAGTACTGCATAACAGGTTAAGATGAAGGAAAAATCTCCACAAAGAAGAGCTTCAAATTCTCACCTCAAAAGCATGTCCATGTTTCCTGTACAAAGGCCAGCCAATATTGACATACAATTCCTGTAATAAGTACCGATTTTCTTTAGGTATGCCCTATTTGAAAGCATTCAAATTCTTGACCATGACATGCTGTTATGTGTTTTCTCAGGTCATGATGAACGCAAAAGAAAATCTGGGAAAGAAGCATGTCACTGAACAAAAACCACACATTACAGGAGCAGATGAATGGAATATATTGAAATCAAACAAATTATTATATTGGTTCAATTAAGTTCAGCCACCAATAAAATTCCCTTGTGTACTCTTTGCAGTTAGGAGCACATCCAGAAACAAGAACAAGAAACCATCGCAGCAAATTAGCTGCCTTGTAAAATAAATTAACCTCACTCCAGGTAAGATTCCCCATTCAATTTCTTGAAACAACAGAGATTTATAATAAAAAAAAAAGTACAAAATAGCCTAAACACCCCTTAATTTCAATAAATAGAAACTGTACAATCTCGAATTTCAAAAAAATAATCTCATAAAACCCTAATATTACATCGAGGAAAAAAAAAACCCAGAAATTTACTTATGAATAGATACCTAAAATTCTATATATAAACACTCAAAAAGGCACAGTATAGAATTTCACTAAACTGAAATCAAAATGACACAATTAACCACAAAAAACCTTAAATTCGAGAAAGAAAATTACCTCCAGATCAATACCCAGAGTCTCAGCGACATGTCGCATGATAGAATGAACAAGCTTGCTCTTATTGTACCTCTCTTCGCAAGTCTGAATATCCTCTTCACTAACTCTTCTCTTACTCAAATCAATATAGCCTTTCTCTTTATCGACACGTAAGACCATGACAGGCTCGATGCGGCCAACCTTAATCAAACTACTAACACTCCGAATCCGACGGCGAGACAGCTCCGAAAACAAGATCATACCCTCGATGTTGTTGTACTCGAGTAAAGAAACATAGGCGCCCATGTCGGCGATGTTTTTCACTTGAATCATAACTGCCATGTCAACCTCTGGGTATCGCGCTTCGTACATGCGACACTCCAGATTTGGTGAGTGCGTCGCCATGATTGATCGAAATGGGTATTTTGCGTCTTTGAAGATTTATTCTTGTGGTCTGTGTGTGTTTGGGGAGAGCGGAGTGGGGGTTAGGGTTTTGAGCAGGGGGTAGTAGCTCGAGTTGGTATTTTTGGTGGAAAACAGCGGTTTTTATGTAATTTACTCATATATATAGTGCTTGCGTTTTTTTACAGCATTTTAAATATAAACGGAAAACTGAGATTCTTCGTTTATTTTGAGGGGTTGTATGGCTGTGACCTTGCAGGCCAATGTACACGTGGAGAGTGATGGATGGATGAATTTATATTTGAATTGAGATTTAAGACTTTCAATACATAATATTACGTGTACATTTTTAGGAAAAACATTTCAAGTGTTTGATTAATTAAAAAATAAAAAAAAGAAGGAATTTAAAAGCATTTGGCTTGCCCTCAAAAGATTTATTCAAATGGTGGGTAAAAGATTCGTTTATGCTTTGTTTGTTTATAAAAAAATAATTTTTTTAAAAAAGTAAATTTTATAAAAATAAATTATTTTTTAATGTTTAATAAAATCATGAAAAATAAATTAAAAAATATTTTTTAGTATTTGATAATATTATAGAAAATAAGTTGAAAATAACTTATTAATATTTTATTTAATTTTTAAATTTATTAAAATAATAAAAAATAAATATTACAAATTAAAAAATGAATGAGAATAAAATTAAAAAAATTCTAATATCATAAATTATTTCAAACAAAATAAATAATAATTAAAATAATAGATATTAAATCTAATATATAAAAAAATTGAAAAATAATGAAATATTAATATTAATAATAATAATAATAATTTCATTAATTATTTTTTATCTTAAAAATATTAAATTAATATTTTTATAATTTTTATACATTATATTTTAAAAAATTTCATTTTAATTAAAAAATACTTTCACCATGTTACCAAATAAAAAAGAAAAAAAACTCAAAGCAATAACCAATCAATTTGTATGATTGTACCGCGACAGGGAAGAAACGTGTTTTGTTAACAAAGGAAAGGAAAATACTTTCCTTGTATAAAGCGTAAATCAATCTCGTTGACCCACTTTCTTTATGTTTACCAAATATGAGAAAGTGAGGAAAAAGATCCTCAGAAAAATAATTTCTGGAAACAAACAAGACATCCGTTTAATTTTTTGGCTTTAAGTATTTTTTTGAAAGACAAGTTATCTACTTCTAGATAACCTACTTGAAAAAAGTGTTTTAAATTTAAGTGTAGTGGGTACTTTCAAATATAAAAGAATGTGAAAAAAAAATTATTAGAAAAACTTAAATGTAAAATTATAAATCATTAATAAAAATATAAATCATTTTAAAATACACGTAATTGGATCAAGATACACTTGTTGAAAAGTATTGGGAAAAAAATCATTTTTTTCTGAAATATAAAAATATATCAAGAATTAGTAAATTAATAAAATCTGTAATCTTAAAATCATTATTTAATTTATTTATTTTTGAATATACCATGTCCAAATGGATGGAGGAATTTACTCTGATTATATTACAAAAGCACGTGATCTGCGCACTGTGATTAGACTACAAAAAAGCTTTCGCCCACCGTGGGGTTCGAACCCACGACCACAAGGTTAAGAGCCTTGCGCTCTACCAACTGAGCTAGACGGGCTTCTTGGGATGAAAAAGTCAATTAACTAATAAATTAATATAATTTCTTTTGTACTAACCTTCAACAACGCGCGCTGGGTGCATCCCCATTGAATTTGGTCTTGGAACCTCACAGAACTATGTAAACGCTATGACCTAGGAAAAGTTTTTTTCTAGATATAAAAAATAAGAGCCATGCTTAGACAAAAGAGGAACGTTAGAAGTGAAAAGAAACAAAATAAAGAGATTGGAGAGTCGATTTTCAATCAGTCATCGTTATCTTAGCAAGCATATATTATTGATAGGGTTAAATTTTTCCTAGCGCAATAAAAAGATGCTCTGGCGATAATAATATTGTTTTAAAATTACGAACCCTTATTCCTACACAATATGCTGCTCTCTACAAATTCTTGTTATTATATATAGATAAATGTACATAAAAATTTAAACAACACCGCCGTTTGCAGAGACAATGGCTAGATCCGTATGGTAGCTGATCGTGGAAAACGGGATACAGGCAAAGTGAAGCCTATTAACATACACCTAGAATACCAGTAGAAGTTCCATAGGGCAGAAAAGGGATGGTATTAAACTAAAGTCTAAAGCCATCAAAGCCATCAGGCGATCTACATGAAATTACAAGATTATTTCCCTTTCAGGTGTACAAAAGGGAGTAGAACTGTTAAAAGGAGGCACAGATCTGTCAGAAAAAAAATACTAGATCAGAATTCAGAATCATGCCAGTAAGTTCGGTTCCGAGAGACAATCAGATCAATCCAAAAGAAACTCGGCTAAAAGGGAGAGCTGGCCTTGGCTGAAAATCAGCATACATGGAGGAGCACCAAGAAGGAAAAAGTAGCATGTAAGAAATCTTCTTTCTCTGATTCTTCAACAACAAACTATAAATCATCTTTCGTGGACTGTTTATCATCATTCTGCATAGAGAAGAGCCAGCGAAACAGTTGTGATAACTTACTAGGTACAGGCTTCTGCTCTGGTGCTTCCAGGTGTACAGTGCACAAACTGTTATAGTCGTGCTTCAGATGAGGAGCAACTATTTTTTCCTGAAGAAGGAAAAAGAATATGCAATCAGCATAGGTGAATCAATCATGTAAATTAGAACCAAAGCGTTGAATGATGCTAGTACCTTAAACTCTTCAAATGGGCAAACATCAGAACCATTACAGCCCTATTCACAAAAACATAAAAGTTAGTATTTGATTTTTTTTATTTTTTATAAAAGTACATATCAAGAAAGCACATAAAATCATAAGCATAATCAGCACGTGAACTAGCAAAGTATACCGCCATCAGAATGGGATGTTCATTGTGGAGAACTTGGACAAAGTACTTGCTTTCAGAATTTGCAGGACAGCTGTGCAAGACCAGCATGTTGTTACCAGCAAAAGGAGCCACAGTGCTGCCATGCCAATTTCTACTCTGGGGAGGTTTTGGAGGAAGTTCCAAAGGTTCTTCCCTTTGCATTTTTTGAAATTCTGAAAGTGAATGGTGATTCAGTATACAACACAGATAGACTCCTTTATGGAGGTATTGCATCTGTGGCTGAATTGATAGGCATATAAATATAATCATGAAATTGTTTCAGTCATGCAGAGAGAGATGCTAAAAATGGAGTCCAAGGATGAAATCAACTCACCAGAACCATCTAGAAAAAGTCCAAGCAGACATGAAAATGGGACCACAGTCTCTGCATGTGCAAAACGCAGCCTTGCCTTCTCATAACTTCCAGGAGCATGCTTTTCTGATAACAATAATAATAAGATGACGACAATCAACAATAGAACAACAACAACAACGATAGAGGAGGAAAAGGTTCATCTTTATCATGTTTTGTTTCTCTTAGCACCACAGAAGAAAAATTTCCACCAAAAAGCCTTAACTAGTTCATTGAAGATGACAGCTATAACTCTTTTTTTTTTTTTGGTAATCTACGAGGAACTGGGGTCTCTGCAGAACCTTGCGATCCCAAAACAAATCCTCCACCACTCAGGATTGGACAAGCCAGGCCCCAATTTGCACCGAGTGGGCCACGCCCTTGTTTAACCCAGGCCCTTCAACTAACTGGTCCCATACATAGGTTGTCATGGTATTAGGGGTGAGCAAAAAAACCGAAAAATCGATTAAACCGAGAAAACTGGAAAAAAAATAACCGAAAAAACCGAACCGAAAA